CGAAGAAGCAGAGGGCAGGACAGAGGCCGGGGAGGCGCGAGGCTGGCCGGGCAGCCTGTCCCACGTGCCACTGAGCCAGGGCACCTGGTGCGCTGCCAGCGGGGCAGGTCGGTACCTGGCAGGACGCGGCGGTGCAGGCGCTTCCACACAGTCATCTTGATGTCGTCTTGGTGGAAACACGGCTTGAAGGACACGGGGATAAAGATGCCATCGCTGGGGTGCAGGCTGGGGAGCTCTGACCTGGAAAGACATGGGCAGCTGTGACACAGGTGACGTGGATGGTGCGAGACCTCTTCCCACCTGGCTGCCGTGTATGACGGAGCCACTGGTGTCTCGCCAGTTGCTCTTGCCCTCCTCTGGGGCTGAGTGCATGGCCCTGGCCGTGGCTGTCCATCACAACAGCAGTGTCCACGTGAGGCTGCCCAGCAATGCTGAGATGCCCACTGGCCTGGGACCTCTAGCCCTGGTGCAGAGGCACTGCCATCCCCATTGATGCTCTTTGCTGCTGGGTCGCACCACTCACCTGAACTGGGAGGAGCCATATTTCTGGAAAACACAAGAGAAAGAGAAAGTCAGTGGTGGGAGCCTGACACAACGGCAGCTCCTCTGCGTGGTCACAGCTGCACACATCCGTGCCCTGGGCTGGTGAGGCCAGGGCTCTCCTCTCCTGGGAGAGCTAAGGGCATCATCTCTCGTGGAGGGCAGGTCTCTCCCGTCGGGGGAAGCCCTGGCTGGACAGAGGACACCTACATCTCACTTCTTGTGGTGTCCCAGCTGTGCTTGGTGAGGGTTCCCACTGCCCAAGGCAGGGCTCAGGGCTATGAGCAGCAGGCTGAGGGCCTGGCACTGCCTTCACTAGCGAGCGCACTCACCCGGATGAAATCAAGCTGGCTTTCATTGCTGAGTGCCTCCAGAGAGCTCTGCATCTCCTTAAGTCTCTGCAGGGTGTCTGATGTCTGCTTGACCTGGGACTCAATGGAGGTGATGAGCTGGGCTGCCTTCCCCTCTATGCTCTCCAGGAAGGTGGCCTTCTCCTCGTCGATGTACCTGTGCAGCTCCTGGAACTCCTTCCGGATCACCCACTTGAAGACATCTGCCTCGTTCTGCCGGGAGACAGCAAGCGGCTGTGTACAGCTGCCTTGCTCTGTCCCCTTCACCCCCTTTTTGGTTTCAGAGATGCTACCAGCAATGTCAACGTGTCCCACCAAGCCACCCTCCTCTGGCTTTCCAAATAAAGAGCAGCTCTGTACAGCAGGCTAGATGTTGTTTCATCGTGCTGTCCTCAGCAGCTCACCACCACAGCACCCCTGTCTTAAACCTCTCCTCCCCCAGATTTTGATTTCCTGATGTCCCAACCAGCCTCATCAGAGCCTTGAAAGAGGTGTTGGATCCCTCTGCTCCCAGGGGACAACCTGTGTGCTGGGCTAAGGGGAAGAAAGTGCAGCTCCAGTTGCATTTGGGTTGAGCCCTTCTGAGGAGCCCCACTGGGAAGCCTCAGAAGGGATGCCAGGAGGTCCCTTGGAGACGTCTACTGCGTGGAAAACGGACACGCAGCTAAACCAGGCATAAACTCAATGTGAAACCAATGGCGTTGCTCTGACTGGGAAGCCTGCTCCGAGTGGGGTCCTTTCCACCTGTTATCTCCCCACCTCCAAGGACACTCGGTCAAACCAGCTCTGACTGCTGCTCCTGCCAGGACGCTCAGTGAGGGTTACTTCACCCTTTCCGAAAACAGGGCTGTGCCACCAAAAAGGGCTACGTCACCCTTCCCGAAAACAGGTCTATGTTTAATCCCTAAGTTTCATGGAGAACACGAACCTCAGGGAACAGGGTGGAAGATAAGCCCTGTCTGCTCCCCCAGGGAAGGGGGAAGAGAAGGAGAGGAGTAGAGGAGACGAGCTGGGGAGACCCAGGAGCGGAGGTTGCTCCAGAGGCTGTGTGGGACACAGGACTTGGAAACACAAGCTCCCTTGGCACATGACACTCACTGCGATGCGGCTTTTGTTGTTGATGAGCTTGCTGAACTGTTCATCCAGGTTCCTCTTGTACTGGTGGACATCGGTCAGCAGCACAGACAGCTCCTCCTGAAAAGACAGCACCTCTGTAGCAGGGACCTCTATGGCATCCTCCTGGATTGCAGGCAGTGCTTGTCAGTCCCTCGAGGAGCACGTGGCCCTGAGAAGCCACATTCTCATAAGCTTTCTCTAAGCTTTCTAGGGCCCTGCATGTCCTGCTGATCTTTACTCTCTTCATATAGAGGATTTGGGGTTGCCAGAGGCAGGAGAGCACTTGGAGCATGGCCCCGATCTGGATGCTGCTGACCAAGTACTCTTGCCAGGAGCACTGTGTCTCCACTCCCATTCCCAACCCTCCATATCTCACACTCCGTGGTGGCTCCGCACCGGGCAAGTGGGGGGCAAGCAGGGGGCGAGCAGCCACAAGCCAGCACCAGGCCAGTGGCACCCTCCCAGTGCCAGTGCCGGGAGCCTGGCTGGGGCAGGAGCATTTCTGGTGCCTCCTCTTATCTCCACAGTGCCAGGAGCGGAGGGGATGGGTGGCCGTGTGCTTTTCCATTCCTGGGGCTTTCATGTGATGCTGGGCAGGGGACGCCAGCTGTTTACTCTGCCTGGCTGGGGCTCCTGTTTCCCTGCCTCCCTGCTCTCCTGTGGCACCTCGCCTCAGCCCTTATCTCCAGACTCTTTTTTGAAGCTGTTTGGAAACAGTCTTGAAAGGCCCCGCCAACACTCCCCGACCCCTGGCTCTCTCCACCACAGTTCAGCAACCAAAACCCTGAGCCCTCTCAGCCAGGGACATGCTCAGCCTGAGAAACGGCTGCCCCCCAGCCCAGGAACCCTGCCCCACATCTGGCTGTGCCGTGGGACTGTGCTCCTCTCACTGGCATCATTTCCATCCTGTCCCTTGAAGGAGGGGGGACATTTGGCCAGCAAGTACTGCAGGTGCCCTAACCCCCACCCCAGGAGCCCCGTCCGGCTCTGCCTGCCAACCTTCATCCGGCAGTACGCGGTAGAGATGGGGGTGATCTTGTGCTGGCGGTGGTTGCCGATGGTGCCGCACAGCCCACAGATCACCTCTTGGTCGGCCTCGCAGAAGAGGCTGAGGGGGTTGTGGTGTGTTGGGCAGGACTCTGGGGTGGGCTCTGCCTCACCCCGGCTCTGCAGCGCCTCAATGACACGGGCCAGCGTGACGTTGGGTGGCGAGGCGCTGCAGTCCACGGTTTGGCGGCACACGGGGCACAGGAACTGCCCGTCCAGCTCTCCGGAGAGTGACACCACGCAGGACTTGCAGTACGAATGCCCACACTGCAGCATCAGGGGCTCCTTGAAGACCTCCAAGCAGATGGGACAGAGGAGCTGGTCCTCCAACTCGTCGATGCTCATCCTCCGAGCCATCCTGCCACCTTCCCGTGCAGACCTGGCTAGGGAAACACAGGTGGGACATCAGTCCTGTTCCAAGAGCAAGATAAGCAGAGATGAGTGAAGTCAGAGCTCAGCACCTGGGGAAGGCGAAACGAGAGACACCTCCACCCCCCCGGCAGCAGCGCAGACAATTGCAAACTCATCATCAGGCTCCACGCAAAGTCTGAGATGCTTGTTTTAACCCGCAGTGGGTTTGGGCTCTGGAGACGTGAGACCACGCGTGGCCATGCCTGCTGGATCTGCCCAAGATCAGAAGTCACCACCAAGCTGTTCCCACCTGGGACCTTTGCCTGGCAGGTGTGTCAGACTGCAGCCCACCTCAGGGCAGCCCTGCCTGTGTGTCAGGGCTGGAGACAGAGCTGAGAGGGACCTTCTACTGAAAAATTCCGACCTTCTGCAATTCCATCATTGACCCTGCCCTGACCCTACAGATCTCATTGGGCTCATTGTCTCAGTCATGGACATCCTCAGAAGGATTGGCATTAGCTCAAGTGATGCATCTAAGCAAAAGCAGAAAGAAATCGTAAAGAGCACGTTTATCTAGGAGACAGGGACAACAACCACACAGTAAATACCCGTGAGGCTGGATTCGACCGATACAAGGGTTGGGAAGCTGAGGCACAGCATGCAGGGCTGTGATTGCAGCTCACCCCCTTGAAACACACTGTGGTCTCTGGTCCCCGCAGCGCTGCACACTCCAGGCCAGCACCCCCAAGAGACATGAGCCCAAATCCCTGCCTCCCCCGCCGGCCCTGGGGCTGCATGTCGCCAGCCTATTGAACTATAAGGTGCAGCATTGCCTCCCCTGCTGTTCCCGGCACTGCAGGATATAACTGCCAAGATCTGGGCAAGTCAAAGACATAACCTGAAGTCAAAGAAAATAAACATGAAGTCGGAGACTCAGTAACTTCCCCGGGGACAGGAGAGGCTGTGACCTGAGCTTGACTTTTATCATACATTGCTATAGGAGCTTGGTGAATCAAGGAAAGGTTGAACGTCAGCCTGTGACCCATCAGACGCTGTAGGACCCCATATGGGGGAACCAGCTTCAGCTGCTCCCTCTGCTCACACAGAAAGACCTCCTGGAGACCCGAATAACAGCCTCCCGCTCGCCACACCACTCACGTGCCCTGCACTGCTTCCTCCTGGCCCTGGCTCGGGCTCTGCTCGTCCCGGTGCACTGAGTCTGACGGACGTCACTTGGCTTCTCCTGATCGAGCTGAAGATTTCCACCCCGTCGGAGGGGTGGACAAGGCGGGTGGCAGGACCGGTGGCCCCTTGGCGGGACAGGGAGCCCACCCGCTCCCCTCCTGCAGCTTCAGCCCCACCAGGGATGTCCCTGCTCACTGGGGAGAGGCCGGGCAGCCTCTTGTCCCCCTCTCCTGCTCTGAGCATGGTGACACACCCCCGCGAAGGGCTGCCCACCGCCACGCAGGTACGAGCACACACATCATATGACTGCGTGGGCAGGAGCCTTGATAAGAGCTGGCGGTGTTTGCCTCCCTGAGCGGCCAGTCTCCCCGAGTCCTGCTGGGGTTTCGCTCATCCACACTGCTTGGGTCAGCGGAAACGTTCTCACCAAAACACTTTCTTATCAACTAAAGCCCTTTTTTGG